GAAATTACATATTCATCTTGAATTTAAGCGAAATCAATACTGATATAACTTAAACAGTCTTTAGGGATCAAAAAACCAACACTAAATATGTGATTGATACATGCCAGGGTCTAGTTTAGTGGTAAATAGTACATCTTCCAAATTCCAATCTATTTTTTTTCTATGCTTCTCTTACTTTTATTATCTTGTTTTATTTTCTTGCAGATGCTAGAGAATCTAAAAATTCTTAATCTTAGTCATTCTCGGGATTTGACTGAAACCCCCGATTTTTCATGCTTGCCAAATCTTGAAAAGCTAGTACTCAAAGACTGTCCAAGTTTGTCTACGGTCTCCCATAGCATTGGATCTCTCCGTAAAATTCTTCTTATTAATTTGACAGACTGCACAGGTCTTCGAGAACTTCCTAGAAGCATCTATAAATTAAAATCTCTAGAAACTTTGATTCTTTCCGGATGTTCCATGATCAACAGATTGGAGGAAGACATGGAACAAATGGAATCATTGACAACCTTGATTGCAGATAAGACTGCAATAACAAAAGTGCCTTTTTCAATAGTAAGATCGAAAAACATTGGATACATTTCTTTATGTGGCTTTGAAGGATTTTCACGTGATGTATTTCCTTCTATCATTCGGTCTTGGATGTCACCATCAAAGAATTTGATATCTCTAGTTCAAACATATGTGCCCACATCATCTCTTGGTACTTTCAAGGACCTTCCAAAGCTTCGAAGTCTTTGTGTAGAGTGCGGCTCTAAACATCAACTAAGTCGAGATGTGGCAAATATTTTGGATGTATTAAGAGCTACAAATTGTCATAAATTGGATGCAAGGGCAACTACGTCACAAATCTATGATACATTTCCTTCTCCTTTAACTGATGATTGCCTTGGTGAAGTTCGCACTTCAGGGTCAAAGAATTACTTGAAATCTTTCTTAATTCAAATGGGAACGAAATGCCAAGTATCCAATATTGCCGAAGACAACATTATACAGGTATGCTTATCTCTTCCGAATATCTATTTTATTAAAAGTAAACTGGAATTTTGGTTCCTGAATTTAATTTTTCCCCCCTTACTAAGTTATTTCGTCCTTAATTTTAACTAGACACTAATTTAATTCTTAAAGTTTTCAAACTCATTGTACAGACAGCAGACGGGACTTGGGATTCATTTTTGCTCCCCTGTGACAATATATCTGATTGGTTAAACTTCAGTTGCAAAGGTAGTTCTGTAATATTTGTTGTCCCGGCAATCAAAGGGTGTATCCTGAAGAGTATGATGTTGTTTGTCCGCTATTACTCTTCCCCAGACAACATAATATCAGAAGGTTGCGATGGTATGTTGGTCGTAAATTACACAAAGACAACCATTCAGGTCTATAAAAGAGATACACTAATCTCCTTTGAGGATGGTGATTGGCAAAGTATTACAGCAAATCTAGAACCTGGTGACGAAGTGGAGGTTAAGGTTGTTTTTGGGGAGGGGTTCATTGTCGAGGAGACAACAATATATCTCTTATATGATGAACCAATCAACCAAGAAATGGAAAACTGTAATGCAGTAGATGAGGAGGATGTTATTGTTTATTATGGTCATGATGAGGAGGATGTTAGTGTATCTGGTGGTTATAATACTGATGTACCAGTGGAAAACATTGCTACTGGTCTTGGTCAAGATGAAAATATAAGTGAAGATAGGCGCATGCATGCAATGGATAAGAATTCTGATGATGTTGCCAATGCCATGGCAACAAATAAGAAACGTGCCTGCTGTTTCTGGTGGCGGTGATATGCCAGCAGACAAGAATGGTGCCGTTTCCAGGGTAGACGAAAATGTGAGTGTTATTAACAACTGGGATGCGGTAGACCGTAGGCAAGGATGTCAATGTTTCTGGGGAAGCAGAGAAGAATGTTGTTTCTGGTGGAAATATAAATGTGACTGATAAGAGTAATTTTTTTCCCCTTTAACGAATGAAGCTGTTGGAAAAACTGAATTGCTCCTACTGTTACAATCAGGATTTAAGCATCACATGTATGGGTTTATCTGAGATATCATGGTTATTTCACCAAGCTTCCTTCTGTTGTTTGAGTTGTTCGGATCTCGCGGCTTTTCAGGTCCAGTCTGGTTGGCATTCTGGTTTGGAGCACTTCCAGCAATTTTAAGAAGGTAAGAAGTCCAAACCTTATTACAAGGTAATAACATATCTAGACTTTGTTATAACATGTCTGTTTATTATTGGAGTGTAGTTTTTCTAACATCTTTTATTAATGGATATCTCATAGATAGTAAACACCTAGGAGGAATATGAACTTTGGTTGCCATTTTTTTCTATTGTGAGAACTCAACTTGGTGTAAGAATTGAAATGTTTTAGGTAATTAGGAACAACTCATATTACTCGTTATAATGAAAGTATAATATTATAAAAAATAAATACATATAACTAAATTTTATCATATGTTTTTTTGTCAAAATAAAAGTTTTCATTAAATGTTTATCAACTTTGCATTTATGTCTTTCTTTATAATAGTCTTGGTTTACTTGGAAAATTCTTAGTAGCCTATGCCTTTACTGATAAATAATTGTTATTGATGAATGTATTGTAGATATACATGAAAAGGTAAATGGCTAGTGGATTACGCCCAAAAGCTCATTACTTACACATGAAGCCTGATGCAAGGATTGCTTTGTGCACCGCATTGTTATGTGTCTCAAAATGAGTAGGTAAGAAAGATCATGAGATTTTATCTATAATGCTTAAGATTTGACATGATTATATCTATAATTTAGATGAACATAATCAATATTTAACGCATAAACAAACAAAAAAAATAAATTTATTCAATTACAAAATCCATCACTACATATTATTCAAAAATCTCTACTAATAAACCAAGCTATGGCTAGTAATGGTAAGACTATAATTATCATTAAAACTACAAAATCATTACCTAAATTCTTCACGATTGATAATACCCATAAGAAACAAAATAATGATGCAGAGTGATGACCAAAATAAGAAATTTAGTCATTTGAAAAATATGGATAAATATTTTGAGAATGATGTGAAAGTTATGAAAGAAGTTAAAGTATTTATAGAGGTAACTTTGTAAAATGACCGTTGTAGTTACTGTTGAAGAAAATGAAAAAGAAAAATATTAAGTGTGTTTCAAGTTATTTAGTCAAATCTTAAGTGTGTTAAATATCATCTAGTCGTTATAAGTGATAGAGATAATCATGATATAACATATAAGGTAAATGAACACATAAAAAAAAACAGTATATGCATATGGGGTTTTAGACCTCCACTAAATATAAAAGTTAGTAACAACATATGAGGTTTTAAACCTCCACTAAATATAAAGGTTAGTAACAGCATATTAGATTTTAAACCTCCACTAAATATAAAAGTCAGTAACAACACATGGGATTTTAAACCTCCACTAAATATAAAAGTTAGTAATTGCATACGGAGTCTCAGACTCCATTAAATATAAAAGTTAGTAATTGCATAAATATAAATGTTTGTAATTGCATATGGAATCTCAAACTATCATTAAATATAAAAGTTAGTAATTGCATAAATATAAATGTGATTAATTGCATAAATATAAATGTTAGTAATTGCATATGGGGTTTTAAACCTCCACATAAAATATATAATAAGAATAACGACACTTATTGTAGAGCACTTGACAAGTTACCAGTTTTCTATAACCAGAACAAATAATAATAATAACAGTAATAATAAGATTAAAGAGATAAGTAAAGGATATATACCTAATATAGTAAAAACTTCTTATAGCAACGATTGTGTTGAGAAAAGTTGGATATTTAAATCTAATTTAGTTAATATTTGTTAAACTAATATGATGATATTGATTTATAATATCAAACTAGAGAGAATGAAGAAGTAAGTAGAATGGTCTTTCAAAGGGAGTTTAGTGTGTCCATTTACATATCAAAGGAAGTATTTATACTAGTAGAAATATTACTATTATACTAAGTGAATAATTGATATTACTATTTTTTTGGTAAATAGGAGGGCCTAAGCCCAGGAAAAAGAAAACTACACAGAACCAATTCTAGTCGAAACCTCTACACTATTATCTTTATCAACTAAATGGATCAACCACCTAAGAATATCATAGAAGACTAAAACATTGTCATTCAACTTCTTTCCGTTAACGACAAGCAAATTAGCACAACAATTGATCTCTCTATAAACATGCTTGAACTTTATCACTTCAAACTTTTTCATTAAGGCCTTAATCCGAGACACCATATTCCAACAACCATATTCTTGTTTCTATTTCTCATGATGCTAGAAATTACAATGTTAGAGTCTGACTCCAATTCTACCTTCTTAAAACCACGCTCCACTGCAAAATTTAGCCCAATGAAAATGCTCCAAAATTCCACCATCAAAGGGCTGCAACAACCTATGCCTTTGGAGAAGCCACCTAGCCAACATCCATGCTCGTCCCTAATAATTCCTCCACATCCCGATAAACCTTTACTATTGTGAGCACCATCAACATTCAACTTGGCAAAAGAGATCTTAGGAGGAGTCCATTTAAGCAAAATCTCAGCTTGCCCTCTTCCCATAATTTTGTTGTTAATCATCATTGAACTCTTATAATGTTGTAAATAATCTTCAATGATTTGACTTGAATTATTTGGTCACACGAAATTAGGGTCATGCAACTCTTTGTTTCTCTGTAACCAAATCGTGTGGCACCCAATAGCCTAGTACTCACACCAGTTCGGATTTGCATGCAAACTGACGTTCAAGTTATGAGAAATCCACTCCTTCCAATCCATCTGGAAAAAGTCATTCACCATGTTAGCAGGAACCTTAGCATCCCACACATTACGCATTGCTTTACAATCTCGAAGCACATGCAAAGAAGATTCACAAACAGCGCCACAAAAAGAGCAGCCATCAATTCTGAATCCAGAAATACTCATACAATTTCTAGTAAGTAATATATCATGTTTCAACAGCCAGATGAATCTCCTGACTCTCTCTGGGACAAGCAGCTACAGATTAGGTTCCACTCCTTACTCCTCTCCAGATTACCATCTTGAGTAAGCTCTTTGTATAAATGCCCAATAGCAAAATTACCTTCTTCATCTATAGCCGTGATCAGCTTGTCTACACCACTTCCTGTAAGCAGAGGAAGAATAATTGTAATCTTTAACTTTACATCATCCAGAATCCAAGCCATAAGACTCCAATTCCACTTTCCATCGATATCGACCAAGTCACGAAGCTTGTAGTAAGCTAGCTCCACATGAATAGCCACGTTAAAATCTTTGAAAATTTTGCCTCTATCAGTCCAGCTATGAGTCCAAGGATGGATGTGGTTCCCCTCACCAATATGCCAGAGCCCTACATCTATCAAGTTAGGGGACGTTTTAACGATAGCCTTCCACATGTTCGAATTAACTCTCTTTTCCTGCAACACTCCCCTATTATCCTCAACCTTATACTTGCATCTCATAATGTTACACCATAGATCATCATCACCATTAATAATTTTAGAACCTAGTTTCATGATGCAAAATTGATTCATCAAGTTCAAGTCTCTCAAACCAAGCCCACCATTACATTTAGCCTTAGTAACAATGTCCCAACTAACTGCGTGATACCGCTTCTTCTCAACCGAATCTCCCCAGATGAAATTTCTTTGCAGCTTCTGGATGTCCTTGATACAAGCTTTAGGTAGCAAGTTTGTCATTATGGGATACACCGGGATAACTTCCATTACACTTTTAGTTAAGGTTACTCCACCGCCAAAAGACAAATGGCACGCCTTCCAACTAGTCAGCTTGCAATTTGCTCTATCACATAATTGAAATCATTCTTTTTGATAGCTTTCCATGTAAGAGGAATGCCAAGGTATTTACCAAACCCATTCGTTTCACTAAAGCCTGAGATATGAACCAGCTTGGCTCTATTGCTTCTAGTAACAATGCTAGAGAATAAAATACTAGATTTTTCCTTGCTAATCTTCTGTCCTGACATAGTACAAAAGGCTTCAAGAGTTTCTTTTACACACACTAATTGTTTCTCGTTAGCCTCCCCAAAGATAAGCAAATTATCAGTAAACATAAGATGGGAAATATTGACACCATTCCTTCCCACTTGAAAAGGCTTCCATTGCTTCTTACTCAATGCATTTTCAATTAAGTGAGATAATTTGTCAATGCAAAGCACAAACAAATAAGGCGAAATAAGGTCACCTTGTTTTATCCCACATTAAGGGCAAAAGTAATCATTCTTGCTACCATTCCAGTTGATGTTAGTCTCCACACTTGTAACCCCATGCATAATAACATTAACAATCTCATCAGGAAAATCAATCTCCGATAAAATACGCCAAATGAACTCCCAATTAAACTTATCATAGGTTTTTTATAAGTTAATTTTGATTGCAAAGTGTAATACAGCGAGAGAACTGACTCGGGTGTTTTGCGTTTTATCTTAATTGTCCCGAATAGCAAGAGTCGCCACCGACTTTTCTTTCATTTGTAGTTATCTACGGGCTCTTAGTTGCTTGCTAGATCACTTTGAAAAATTCTTTGTTTGAAATGTATTTGTGGTGGGTTTTGAAAGTATTTTGAAAATGCATTTTGTTTCGGAAAACTTTGTAATGATTCTCGTCTCTATAAGAATGTATACAAAGTTTTGGTTTTGAAGATAGTTCAACGAGATGTTTATTTTTGAAGATGTTTTGAAAGTGTAAGTGTGAAAATGATTTTGATTTGTGAGCAAGAAACTACGAGCGTCCTACCTACTCAAAAGGTCTTTGTTCTTTTCATCCTCCTTTAGATGTTGCTATCTTACCATTGATTGGTAAGAAGCCCCATCATTGGATGTGAAGGGACAAACACGGGTCAATTGTATAGTCATAGAAGGCAACTTATGAGACGTTTTAGCAATTTTCGTATGGGACTAGATCGTTTATCGAAGGCAACATCGAGGGATTACAATCTTTTTATCGAGGGTCTTTTCTAAAACGCCCATATTCGAGGGACATGACTATTTTCTGAGGCAACAAAGCGAGATTACCTTAAAGGTGCGCGTGTGTGAAGTGTATTTGATTGCATGCATTTGTCTTTAAGATTAAGATTTTCTAACGGTTGATTTTATCTTGCCACACACACCCTAATTACTAATAATTATATGAAAAGCGATAAATTTGCGGAAATTAAAATCCTACGCTATTACATCACTTTAGGGGATGGGGTATAAGTTCATAAATGGGGAGATAAAAGCAAATAAGACCTAATTTTACTATTACAACCAAATCGAATGAAAATAAAAAAACAAAAAAATCAAAGAAAAATCAAGATTTATGCTGTCTGGTCTGACACGGGCCGTGTCCTGTGACACGGGCACCCGTGTCAGCATCCTGTAATGATCCATGCACGTTTTTCCTTTTTGTACCAACTAAGGTGACACGGGCCATGTTCTGTGACACGGGCACCCGTGTCAGCACCCTGCACATGTATCAACGTTATTAGTAGTTGCCTCATTTGATGGGGTACGAGAAACATCAGAATCTTTTCCTTGCTTTATCATATTATTACCATTAAGAGTAGAATCATCACCATTAATTACCTGATCCTCATTTTCCAAAATCAGAAAACACGATCCCACAATTTTGGATTTGTCATTATGGCTTCTCGGCGCACTATTTTTCCGACTATCCACCACCTTCCTCACTCGCCGCTGCTTCTGGACCTCTTTCCATGGCCCATCTTCAAAACCCATTCCCTTTTGTTCACCTGCTTTTCCATGTTTCGTTTCTACCAGATTTCCTCCTCCACTGCTCTCACCCACCTTATTCTTCCCTTTGATTACTGCCATACATCCTTCTTTAGAATGCCCATATCTACTACAAGCAAGACAGAGCAAGTGTAGACCCTCATACTCTATCTTGTAACTGCTTCCTTATATTTTAAGCATTGCTAGCAAAGGATTCGATAGATTCACAACAACACAAATACGAGCATACTTTCCTCTTTTCTGATTGATCGTAGTTTTATCCACCTTAATAGTGCGTCAAATGCGATCGCCAAATGCTGATAGGGCCCTTGGATCATAGTATTCTATTAGTAAGCCAGAGATTCCAACTCACACGACAACTTCTTCAATAGTGTCACTCTCCGGTTGGAAATTTGGTCTCCATTCCTGCACCGTTAAGTAATGATCGTAGATAAACCAGGGCCCATTAGTCATCGTCGCCTTCTTGTCGTCTTCATGTGAGAATGCCACGAGATAATAATCATTATTGAGATCAATGATACTGATAACTCCCCTGCACACCCACATCTGGTTCAACCTGCTTTCCAATTCTTTATAGCCAATTCTTCTTCCTAAAAGCTTGACAATGACTCGTCTCCTCCACGACCTTTGGATTCACTTCTCTTCTATCTCAGAAAAAACAAAGTTAGGACATTCATACCCACCAATCATTTCCTCCTCCACTCTAATCTCTCCATACTCCTCTTCTCGAACAACATCATCCTCTAGTCTAGCATCTTGCTCTTCATCCATATCATCACCATTCCTTCCAGTAATGTTAGCTGAGAATTTCGACCAGGATAATAAAGGAATCATTCATTTAAAATTCCACAAGATGGCTTGAAAAAGCTATAGTCAAAGTATATTGTTACTGGATCTGAGTCGAAGAAGACAGTTTGAAAAGACAAGTGTTTTTGTTTTGTCAAAAACGCGCGTTTCGACGGCCACGTGAGAAAGTCGTTGCTGAAGGCTTGAGCGGGAATGTTTGAAATTCGAAATAGTTTCTTTGGATAAGAAGGACGCGTGGAAGCCTTAGAGTGTCGAAAGACATGCAAGAAGCGACATGGCTTTTCATTAGAGTAATACCGTTATGGTTAGAGCATTATAAATAGTTCCTTAGTGTTAGGGAGAAGGAGGATCATAATTCGTACAAAGTTACTCATAAAATACTCAAGTACCAAGTTACAGAGAAAGAGTTCATTGAGAATGTACGTATGACCTCACACATTTTATCTTTGAAATGTACTTATAAATATAATTTCTTTTGAACCATTCTTTTACGTACTCCTGCAATTGTTCTTAATTTCTTTATGTTCTGTCGAATTGCTTTATTTTCCTGAAAAGCTTTACGTATCAAGTTTCTTTTAAAAGGCTTTTTCCTTTACAATCAAATCTTTTAATTCTAGTTTGAATTTAATTTCAGAAGTCTTTGTATTTTAAGCCTTTACACAAACACATGCACAAGCACTACGCCGTGTTTAACATAAACCGTCGAGTAAGTGTTACAATTAACGTTAAGACAATGTCCTAGGATCAATCTAGTCGATCCTGCGAGTAACCATACATATCAAATTTGTTTGGAAGACTAGCGGTTGTTTCGCCAGAAATCACTGCGAACAAATTGACACACCCGGTGGGACCGTGTCATAACGTTTTAAGAAAAAACTAGTTGTAATCATAACAGACGGTTTAAAAGACTATTTTCTGGTAAAATACGCAAAAGCGTTGTATGAACCTTAGGAGTGGCAGAATTATTAGTGAATCTCAACCAATACCTAAGAAAAAACATACCACAAGAATGGTTAACACAACTAATGATCAAGGAGGACAAAATCCTCCACAAGGATCAGGAACGGTCGGTACAAATTCGACAACTAGTTCCCAGTCCATTCTAACATCAATAAGATCAATGGCCGCAACTAATTCGAATCCACCTTACACAGGAACTGCTTCTGTGGCTAGTGTGACCAACGTGCCCCCCTTTGGGGGTACATCAAAGTCTCTTTCGAATACTCAAAATGACCTTATTTTGACATATGTAGGAGGCCAAGTACCACCTTCGACACCCCCATGCCACCGAGATTCGAAAATTTTAGGCCTTGGACAGAACAATCATATGGAGGGCCCTCATCATCATTCATGTGTGGTTTACACAATGGCACTTCCGTATATACGCAACCTAACGTAAGTACTTTTTCGCCGATTCAAAATGTTGGTTCAATAGGTCGAAGCGCCCAAAACCAAGGCCTGTCAGCCCAGATGCCTGCTTTAACAACAAATACCCAAGCAACACTTAGACAACAAATGGACGCTAGTAACCATGATATGGTTGGAATATTGGCGAGGGAAATGAATACTATTTTTCTCCCCTAATCCAGAATATAAATAGAACCAATCAAGAAAACACCCAATCATACCAACAGTTGCCAGCGCATATGACGCGGATAACGGATTTCTTTGGGAACCCCCAACCATCTGTTCGACGCAGGCAGAATATCATAGGAGTTCAAGAAGAACCAACCATAAACCGTGTTCAACAACCTAGACAAAATATTGTCGAAGAACCAAGAGTCAAACCAGTAGGTATTCGACAGCCAAATCCTGAGGAACCACCCAGGAGAATAGCCATGGTCAATAGAGGCCAAGATGCAGATGAAGTTGTTCATAGAATGAGACAAGACAACCTGTTGGTCAAAAATAATATAACAAATATAGTAGAAAGAATCATGGCTAATAATGGTTTAAACACAGGGTTTCGACGCCCCTACTACACTTCCCCTATAACGGAATTTATTCTGCAAACAAAATTTCCAAGGGGTCACAAGATTCTGAAATTCACCAATTTTTCAAGGGATACAAATGAATCCACTATTGAGCACATAGCCAGATATTTGACAGAGTTAGGAAACTTGGCAAACAATGAAGACCTAAGAATAAAATATTTCCCTAGTTCGCTAACCAAAAATGCTTTTACATGGTTCACCACATTACCTCATAGTTCTATAGATATGTGGTCTTACTTAGAGAAACTGTTCCATGAACAATTTTACGTGGGACAAACGAAGATAAGTTTGAAGGAATTGGCAAGCGTAAAGAGGAAATTCATAGAACCCATAGATGACTACCTGAATAGGTTCCGTCTTCTGAAATCTAGATGCTTTACTGTGGTGCCTGAGCATGAGTTAGTCGAAATGGCTGCAGGTGGATTAGATTATTCCATTAGAAAGAAGTTAGATACTCAACACTTGAGAGATATAACCCAGTTGGCAGATAGAGTTCGACAGGTCGAACGACTGAAAGCTGAAAAGGCCAGGGCAAGTAAAAATCATAAAAAAAAAAGGGTAGCCTATGTCGAAGCCGAAAATGAAGAATATGAGCCGCATAACAACCCTTATGGTGTTGAAGAAGTAGAAATAGATTTGGCTGAATTAAAAGAGGCACCCCCTTACTCTTGTAAAATGTTAACACCTTCGAATGGGAAGAACCCCGTCGAAGAGGAAAAGAGTGATAAATATCCTAAAAGAACTTACACTTTTGATATCACTAAATGTGACGAGATATTTGATTTACTGGTAAAGGATGGCCAAATGATAGTGCCTCATAACACTAAAGTTCCTCCATTAGAACAACGGAAGAAAAGAGGTTATTGCAAATACCATGGTTTTCTTGGCCATAAAACATCAGCTTGTTTTCTTTTCAGGGATTTAATTCAGAATGCTATCAAGGATGGACGTCTGAAATTCACTGATAAAGGAAAAGGTCCTATGAAGGTGGATGTTGATCCTTTGAATTTGGCTGCCACCAACTACGCTGAACCTTTGGATATCAATATGGTGGACATAGTCAACACTGACCAAGCAAAGATCGTGGAAGTTGGGAAGCAGGCTACTGATAGCCTAAACACCAGAGGATCCTTCAACACTGACGTTGAAGACCCCCAGGCTGGACAAATCAAATGTAGGACTACTGAGGGTTCTTTGAAAATTACTAATGCGACTAATGAAGGTCTCAGAGTTAGGTTCGAAGAAATGGAAATCTCTGAAGTACCCATGGGAGTCAACATGGTCAATCTGGACCAACCCGCTTCAGAGATGGAAGAATTGGAAAACTGCCTGCTGATGCAACAAAAGAAGAAGAGTTTTGGCTACCCAAAGGCAAATGAGAATCTGCGCGAATACTTGTGGAGATGCCATGAGAGGAATGCCCACAAGACGTTACTGTGCCCAAGGTGCTCCATTATGTTGAGTCGAAGAGTGGCTGAAAATTATGAGAGGGTCCAACACATCAACACCCAAGGAAATTGGCGCCAAGAAGGTCAACTGATGAGAGTATACCCAAGGCCAGGCGAAACGCTTTTGGTTTTCATACTCCGATGTTACAAAGCAGAATCAGAAATCCTGATGTGCCCAAGATGTAGCGCAGTATATGACAAGGAGATTGCTGAAATATTTGAACGAATCCCTTTCCATGGTAGCTGGGAGCCAAGGGAAGCAAACCCAAGGATGTACGTGTTTGACAAAAGGGGAACGTCGAAAAGGCCAGATAGCCCATATCCCAAGGCAAGAAGAGTCTCGTTCAAATTACCTGCTGAGATACCAACTGATCGATGGATGCATGTTAATGATGAGAAATCAAAGTGGAGGAGTTTCGACAAGGGAGGCAGAACAGCTTTCGCCTATAGAAGGCAATTCCAGGCATTAACAAGGGAGGCTCACAGGCTAGACAATTACAAAGGAAAAAACCCCATGTCAAGATCCCAGTGGCGTAGACACCAGAGAGCAAGGAAAACAAAAAGGGAATCAAAGCAGAAAGAGGTAGGTGAATCAAGCAATACCAAAGCAGTATCTGGAACATCGACATCCGTCAAACCATTGGTAGGACGAAGGTTGTTCACTGAGGAACAACAGAAAACGAAAGAAGTGACTCAAGAAAATCCCATAAAATCTGAAGATATGTTGACAGATGATTTCGACTCTGATGGCGTGTCGTCTCTGAACATGAATTGCAACGTGGTATCCGTTATCCCCTATTCGTACTATCAGGAAACTGAGGTTGAAGACTACGAAGAAGCTGATGAAGAGGAAATGGCGAAACACAGACCAATGTGTTACTACGTCCTCAATAATGGAGCAGTCGAAGAGCAAAATGCCTTCTTCGAAAGGCCTGACGGAGCTATGAGAAACCATCTGAAACCTTTGTATATAAGGGTCATGATCGAAGACACTAGTATTAACAAAGTACTGGTGGATGGAGGGGCTGCAGTTAACTTGATGCCTCATTATATGTTGAAAAGAATATGGATGTTTGACACGGACATTAAACCTCACAAAATGGTGTCGTCTAACTATGAAGGGATAATAGGTCACACCCTGGGGGTAATTCAAGTAAACTTGACAGTTGGGTCTGTGACAAGACCAACTATGTTCATGGTGATTCCTGCAAAAGCAAATTATAATTTGCTGGTAGGGAGAGAATGGATACACGGGATGGGGGCAGTGCCATCGACCATGCATCAAAGATTAACCATATGGAGAGAGGATGAAATTGTAGAAAACATCGAAGGGGATCAAGGTTACTACATGACGGAGGTAAACACGGTTAACAGAACCAGCTTTGACAAAAATCTAGCAAACATTGGACCATGTGGAGTGGTAGGAGATTGCTACTTACCAAACCAGAATGCGTTGTATTATCTAACTTTGCTCCCAAATGGAGTTCGTTGGGACAGAGAAATTATGGGAGAACTGGATGAC